AACCGATATATGTTAAATGGGCACTGTATAGTTATTAGTTTTTCTTGGGCATTATTATTATAATCAAAAAGAAGCGCTAAGCCACAAGGACTATACAGTTTTCTTGGGCAATACTTCAACTGTGTTGAAACCCTTCAAGGGATCTAGACGCTGGTGAAGGGCTCTTGATCCGGAATTTGACAATCAATTTTCCTGGATCAAATCTGGTTGCCTCCCATTCTCCAGGTGCTATATAACCCATACAGGCGTAGCGCTTCCGCATAAATAATAATTTGAAAACCAGTAGCCAGGTAGGATAGGCAATATCCCGTAGCTCGGTTGGTAGCGGACTCACCTCACATTATGGTCCGTGGTTCGATTCCCAGTACGGGTGGAAACTGGAGTGTTTCTTTAAGACACCTGCAGTCCCTGTCCATCTAGTAGTAAATAGGTACTTGGGTGTTAGCCGACTGGTGTGGGTCGCATCCTGGGGACAAAGCCTAATTTGCCCGAAATGCTCTACATAACAAGGGGCTTTCCATATACTACTAGTATGTCAGTGATGTCAGCTTGGTCTGTATACGTTGTATCATGTACTTGTAGAAATAGATTATTATTATTATAGGTATATGGCTGTATGACTTGTGTTTAGTGCTTAGTTTCAATTATACTACTAATAATTATAGGTATATACTATCCAGGAAGGTTACTAAGTTTATTTAGGTACAGGTACACATAAGTACAAATATCATACATAGATTAAATAACCTAAGATAATCCCAAAAAGTTAGACAGGGTGACTTGTTTTCATTAATAAGTAAGCAAGCAAGCTTATTCAGGTATATACAAATACAGTTACATAGATTATCATACATAGCAGCATATGTGTAGAGAACCTAGGATAACCCAAAAAAGTCATAAAGTGACTTATTTCCATTGGGGACTTTGTGATAATTATAAAAGCAGTTATAATAAATGAAATATACTAGGGGAGAGGTAAAATTAGTTATTTTCATACAAGAAATCACTCCTCCATTCTGCAGCCTTATTCATGGGGGGGGGGGTTACATTTTGGTTATCTTCAAATTCAAATTGTTTATTTCCTTGCAAGTTTACAATGTGGTTGACATATTGTAGGAGGTATATTTACATAGGTAGTTTACAGCTTGGACTGGCTGACAGGCTTTGACTTGTGCAGGCAGTCAATTCCACTACACAGAAAACCTGCACATAGAAGAGAGGAGCACAAGAGATATAGGGGTCCTGGAATTTACCTGGAGAGAGTCCAGGTCGGACCAAAACATAGTGGTAAGCTCCTCTCTTCTATGTGCATGCTATTTGCGTATTGTTCCAGTCACGGTATTGTGCCTTTTTTTGTTAGTCTATTCCACTCTTTTATTGCAGTACAGAAAAGTCTTTGAAGCCTGACCACTGACTCTAGGTACTGCAAAGTTGTTCTCCCTTCCCCTAGTTCTATAATTGCTTTGGTTCCTAGCCTTAAAAAAATTGGCAGTCAGATTTTAGGGACACTGGTTGGACCCTTTTTTTAAACGTAATTTGCTTTAGTTGTTTTACTCGTTTTCAATTCGCATAATTTGTTGTATTCATTCTGGCCTACTGCTCTTTCCCCGTGGCCTGGGGGCAAAAGCTCGCTTCACACGTGGTGTCGAGTTTGGTCCCGGCGAGGGTGAAACATTGAGCATTTTTCTTTCAAATGGTTTATATTTACCCCAGTAATAAAGATACGTGGACCTCGACTAACGCTATTAACCCGTTCCTGAGGTCATCTTTTTGTCAAAAAAATCTTTTTGCCAAGTTAATTTTCCCCATAGAATTTTTGGAAATCAATTAACCCGTTAAGACACCCAAAAGTATTGAAAATTTTTTTTTTTTAACACATAAAATTTAAATTTTAATAAAAAAAAAACTGAGAAGACATGCAAGTTACAGGACACTTACCTTTTTGAAGATTGGTGATGATTGAGGGGTGGGAAGAGGGGAGTGTGTTGATGGTCTTGGTTTAAAAGGGGGAAAACCCCCCTTTCCCATTAGGACTTGAGGTGGCAAGCCTTTTTTGGGGGTTTATTTCCCCTTTTCTTCTTTTAATGCCCTGGAAAGGGGCTTGAGAGCTTTGGGACCTCTGCCCACAACAATCTCCCCATAGAGGCTGTACCTCCGTTCCTTATGACATTCCAAAAGTGTTCACAACATTGTAGTTTTCACCATTAAACATTTGTTCAGGTTTCAGTCCTTCATGTCTTGTACCCCTTAAAATTCCCTGAACTTATTTTTCAGTGCTTTTTGGTCCAAACTGGCAGCCTCCCCTCCCTTATCCATATGTATGCCACACGATTCTTAAATCTCTAAAACCAAAACCTTTGCTGGCTTTAAGTTCACTACATCCCCCTGTTGCTGGCATTTTTTAATTAAACGTCAGCAACCCCCTAGTTTTTCCCAATATGATCACTTGAGAGTGCTATCTCTGTTTGTTTTTCGTTTATCCTTTCCAATAACAGTCTCTCAACTTTTCATCACTTGCGATCTCGTTTCGAAAGATAGTTGCACCTTTGGCAAGAACAGTTTTCCTTTTTCCCTTTTTTCTTGGCCCATAGTAGCGTGGTTGTTTGGGGGTTTTGGTACAGCCTGGCCAGCTCGGAGACACGCATCCATTTCATACTTAGAAAAGATCTTTTCTTCAAATCCATAGTAATTCTAACCTTTTTGCTGTAGGGTTCCCCTAGAAGCTTTCTTGTGATTATTTTGCAGGTGCAATACAAAAAAGGCTGTGAAAATATGAAATGTTCCGATTGTATGTTGGAAGCGACCGGGGTGGCTGGCTGGTTGTAAAAAGGGCCCAGAAGTGGACTCAGGGGGGAACGAATAGTGTTGGCGATTTTTTTAGCGTAATCGGGGAAAAAAAATTTTTTGCGATAAATGTATGCGTCCTTTTATCTTTAATGTTCCCATCACTGGTCGGGGTCCACTGTCCCTGGGTGTTAGTTGAGGGTGGGGGGTCTCTCCTGGGACAAAATAAAATTTTGCCTGAAATCCTCTGCATTTTCATGGGGCTTTTCTATTACGTAGTAGTATGTCTTGATGTCAGCTTGGCCCTGTTACCTTTTACATATACTTGTAGAAATTAAAGTTTGTTTTTATTTTTTGTTAAGGCAGGTACAAAAGGGTAAGAGTAGTCTATAATAATTTTTGGGGAGCTAGACATGAGGTCCTGCCAGCCTAAATTTGGGTTTTACACTGCCCCTGTCTGTAGGGGAAACTTTGTCAGGCATTTGCTTTCTTTATTGCATGTTCCCTATTATTTTTGGACTGTTGGGTCAAGGGGATTCCCAGGATTTCACTGAATTTACTGAATTATGTTTTCCCATCCTTTGGACTTTTTAAAATTATTTCCCCTTTTCAATTTGTTTTGTCCCAAAAGGTTTTGGGCTTCTTTTTTTCCCGAGGTTTTGTAGGGGATACTAATTTGTTGTCTACCAACCCCACTTGGCGGACTCTGTTTGTAAATAGGACATTAGCATGGGTTGTGGGTCTTTCCCAGATACTAACAGAGCACTATCATCTACGTCAGAGTAATTGCTTTTTGATACTGATGTGCATGTCATTCACACTTAGTAAGAAAGAGTTTATTTAAAAAAGGTATGCATAAGACATGTAGGGCCTTCTTTGAAATTAAATATTTGTAAATGTAAATACCACGTTGAAAGCTTTACAAGGAAATAAGCATTTTTGTTTTTGATTTTTGTTAGGAAAATCCCCTAGGATCCCCCAAAAAAAAGTCAGAAATTTTTAACCACTTCGATTGGGGGGCCCGCTTTGTATTACCTTGAAAAAAAACATTTGTTAAGTGAAGATACCCTTTTAAAAAATGTATATTAGTTGTTAGTGCCCTTTTATGTAAACATTCCCAATAATTTTGCCGGTATTTTTTAAATGGATTTTTTTTTAAACCTATCTTTAGCCTTGTAATTTTATATTTTATTAATGTAAAAGTCATAATACCCTTACAATAAGGATAACCATCATGTATGTATGAAATTAAACCCCTTTGATGTTTCGGTCATATTTTATGTCTTACGCACACTGTTTGACTTTTAACACGAAAACTCTGTGGTTAAAATCAAGCGGGAGGAAAGTGGTAGGTCACATGTGAGGGGGAATGGGTCTGTGTGGTCGTGTGCCCCCACTAAAAAATCCTGCAGCGCGTAGTGCAAATGGAAAAAAAAAAAACCCGTTTTTTTTTGTATTAAAACCCGTTTTGGGGTTTTTCGTGTAGATTTATCATTGTTTTCTCTTTTTCTGGTTAAGGTTATAAAATGGAAAAAATATTACAGAAATTGATGATTTGATTCTTTCCAATGAAAATTCCTTGAAATGAGCTCAAAATAGCGGAAATGTTTGATTTTTCTTTTCGGAGTAAACAATTCACCCACGTCCAATACACTTCAGCTGGGGAGTTAATATTTTTTCATAGTGCCTGAATTATTTATCCCATTTTTAAATAATGCAGTAGTCTGATAACAGTAAATTTTGTATTTTTTTGTATGAAAAAAAAATCAAAATAGAAAGAAATGTAATAAAAGGGGGGCCTAGGACGTGACTAATGAACGAGGTAGTTATTTTTAGTCCCAAGAATGTCTACTTGCTTATTCTGAACCCTGTTTTGAAATTGGCATTTTTTTTAATTTGGTAAAATTTGGGAAAAATGGCCAATTTCTGACCCTTTATTGGTAGTTCAATTGGAAAATGGGCAGTTTTGTACCAACAGATAGAAAAATGGAAGTTCAAAAGAAATACTAGATTTTGGTCAACTGGAAAAAACAAAATTTGGCCATAAACAGGGCTCAATTCGGCGAAATCGCCGATGCGTATATGTCATGAGATGCTAATTTCAGGGAGGTAATTCCCGTGAGTTTTCGCCCAAATTTTTGTATTTTTGTTCATTATCATGGGTTTAAAGTTCTCAACATTTTGTAAATAAAAAATTTGTTTTTTCCAAAAAACTTATCGACATAAAATGAAAGTTTCAGAAAGGGCATGTGAAAATAAAAGGGTTTTAACCCCTTGACTGTCAAAACCCCCCAATCCTGAGGTGTCACTGTTTTGAAATTTTTTTGAAAGAAAAAAATTTTCTTGTAAAAGATAGAGAATCCTTTCCCGTGTAATGACCCAAACAAAAAAATTTGAGGGAAAACTTGGAAATTTTCGCTTTTCTCAAAGTTGCGACCTTGGCGATATTTATGAACGGCGATTTCGCCCACTTTGAGCCCTTTTTTGGCAAATTTTCCTTTTTCCCAGCGCCCAAAACTATAGCTTTTCTTAGAACCCCATTTGTTCTATCAAATGAGTACAAAAAATGCCATTTTAGATTTCAACTACCCAATAAGTGGCAGAATTTTGCAATTTGGCATTTCACGCAAATTAAAAAATTAAAATTTCAAATAGGGCCCGAATAAACAATGCGACTTTCCCTGGCTTAAAAAAAAACATTTTTTTGTTCATCGTAATCTCCGGGCCCCCTCTGTATTACTTTGTTTTTTCTATTTTAATTTTTTTCAAACAAAAAATAGAAATTTAGTGTTATGCGATACTGCAGTATTGTAATAATTGTACAAAATGTAAACCCATTCATGTGCTATTGAAGGGTGCTGGACTTTATGGACAATAAATCTTTTTTTATTTTTAAAACATGGGCCCCAAAAATCAAAATTTCCCATACTTTGAGCCCATTTTTGTATTTAAGGAAATTCTAAAAATATAAATTTTTTTTTTGGTTAAATAATACATTTGTTTAAAATTTAAATTTAAAGAAAGGGAAATTATTCAAGGAAGTGTAACAGTTTCCCTTTATTCTTTTTTCCATTTGTATTTTTGCCCTGTGTTTTTAAATTACAAGGGGTAAACTGAATGGAATATATCCATTGCTTGTGGGAAAAATTCTGAATAATCTACTATAAAAAACCCAATGTAAAAGTTTAAAAAAAATGTATGGGCTTAAAAAAAAATATTATTTTTCCCTCTTTCAGTTTGGAAAAAGTAAAGGTGCCTCCAAGGTGCTGGAATTAGGTTAGATTCTTGGAGTTGTGGAGACTAACAGGGTTTGTCATGTGAGGAATTTGACTTTGTTCTGCTTTTTTTCGTAAAATTTTTTTTTTATGAAGTCAGCGAATTTAGGTTGTGTTGCAGTAACTTTTATTACGTATTTTTTGTGGTATGATAAGGCAATTATTTTTTACCTGGAGTTTACCTGGGGGATTTCCCGGGGGGTCAACCCCCGCGGCCGGTTGAGACCA